ACCTATATTATATCATGTAGAAGTAAAACATAATATTACGTAGGTATGTAAATATCTTGTGTATTGTTATATCATATGACCTTGACAGAGGAATATATTTCTTTAATTATCACAGTATTCAATTATAAAAGAATCCGATTGCGACTGTTTGGTCTTTACATTTTTGGTTTGTTCGAATGCGCTATTCTCTGGAACTATTTGTCAGATTTAATTTTTTTTAAGTTATACGTCTTTTGGCACGTTTGAAAAAAATATGAGATTAAAATTTTTACGATGCACGCCCACACCGACAGCCCAAAAGCGACATGATGAAGTTAGCTGCATTCCTTTTACAAACAGTTGTGACATACGGGATGAAATCTTTAGCTATTCTTGTTCTGTTACGCCAAAGAAGTATAACTTCTTACGTGCCTACATAAGTACACACACACGTTTTTTTTTACATTTTAATAGGACTTAGGAAGACAATTAATAGATAAATGAATATGAACGATGCAAGGAGAGCTAAAGCCTAAAGCTTTTATAAGAACCAGATTGTAAATAGTTAAAATTGTTACGAATGCTGGGATTATCATTTATTTATTTGAATTATTCTTTAGTGAGTCACACTCGAGCATACAAAATTATAATGGCGAGTCGAAATAATAATTGCTTGTGAAATTATAAGGTGTGAGGTGTAAAGCCGCAGGCAGGACGCTATATCTGATGGACCGTGACAGGCTAAGTGATGAGGACAGAAAGGATTGGTTATAGCTTTATCTCTTAAGATATATGTTAAACTTGTGTTTATTTGTAACTAGTAGAACCCGCGGCTTTGCTTTCATACAAACTTTCATCCCCTATTTTACTCCCTTATGGGATGAATATCGAAAATTTCTAAAACATGCTTTTATTTAATTGTATTGAAGAACGTTAATATCAAGTTTCAAGTAATTCTGATCATAAATAATTTTTCGGATTGTATTATAACGTGTTTTCCCGCAGGAATGAGATAATCTCCCGCGGTAAAAAGTAGCCTATGTCACTTTCCAGCCCTCTAACTATATCCACACAAAAAATCACGCCAATATGTCACTCCGTTTCGATGTGAAAGAAAGACGAACAAACAAACACACTCTTATAATATTAGTATGGATGTTATAGTTAACCCCTCCAGGTAAATTTCTAAGAAATTAATTGAATTTCTAAGAAATCTATTGTTAACTGTAACGCCGGCGTGTCCGCGGTCGTAGAGGGATTAATGCTTTCGTCGTGATGTTTATGTTTATTAATAAGAGTAACTCGCTTTGGTCTTTTATATATACATACTATATAAAAGACCAGAGCGAGTTATAATTACCTAATTATTATGCCAGTCAATATAAAGATCAACATTGTAGATATATTCTGTACAGAAAAATATTTTTCTTAAAAACAACCTTTCGCTTTCTCAGAGGAAAGCTTCGTACTAATAGTGATTTGATGATCAATTATACTCTAAAATTATATCAAAAGTGGTATAGTAATTTTTGCAAAAGAAAGGGATATTTAAAAAAAATATTTACTCTTACCCCAGTGGAGTCTATTTTATTTTTCAGAATTGAAGGAGTATATTTTGCATAGGCATCTATCTATACACTATTATTGTACAAAAATCTAGTTTTCACTATGGTTTCAAGCAAATGAACCCATAGATGTCATAACCGGCCAACGGATAGTAGGTATAATAATACTAATTTGATGTCTCTGCAATTAATAAAAATAAGCTTTCAAGCTTTAAAGCTTAAATTAAATAAATTCTAAAAAATAATCTTTGAAGTTTATTTTTTAGAAATGAAATAAATATGTAACCTATTTGATGTATGTATTCTGGAAAATATATCATATATCGTGTAATCGAACAAATATTCTGAAGTCGTAACATAACAATAATCCTTGATAATGCCTTCATATTAGATATATAATAAATTTAAGTAATGTACTTATAGGCTTGTCCTTCTTTTAATTGAAAAAATCACGTTGATCCCTTCCATCATAGTTCACGTATATGGAGCGGATAGATATTTTTATCCCAGCACATAAACTCCCGCAGGATATTAGACTAGTATAAAAACTTCATTCTTAATACTTTTTAGGTACCTATCAAGATGAAGTTTCGTAATTTCATTTTATACTTACAGTAAAAACAAACCTCGTAAAATATTCTAGTGATTTTGTCGTCAATTTCAAATCGGACAAGTCGAAATTAAAATTACATGTTTATAAGATCTGAACACCGCGCCGCCCGCGGCACGAACTAAATACAATGCAATATGACAGGCTAAGTGATATAAAAATCTATAATACCTCACTACTTCAAGTAACATTCACTAAACTTAAAATTGTTATTATTATTTTGTATCGACGATAATAATTTTCAAACAAAACAAAAGTTGTTTTGAATCAATATATATTAAACGAATTTGTATCATAAAAGGATTTAAATCAATTCTTTTTCTTTTATATCGTGGTTTCTACGAGTGCCAGTTGGGCTCAATTTGCTTGGCCAATGTCGCGCGTCCTGGCACTAGCCCGCTGTAATTTTTTTTTTTAAAGTAGCGGCAAACTTATAAGTATAGATAGACGACATTTAAAATGTTCTAGGGTGTCTGAGATGAACGTTTACGAAATACGAGTATATTGAGATATAGAATATCGAACCTACGAGATCAATCATATGAATACAATAATTACAATTCACTTAGATTTATCTACTTTTCTAAACAATATATGTATCACGCCTATGAAATATTTACACTAATTACTTCATTTTTAAATATGTATGAGATATAGTTTTAAAATGGCGATCTTTACCTTCAAATAGCTTAGAAACTTGACACTTTAGAGCACCGTATTGGCTTTTTCTTATTTGGTTTTTGCCTATTTATTAACGGGTCATCTATTAATATAATAAATAAATAAATGAATATGTCAGGACGTTAACACACAATACCATCTAGTTCCATGGTAAGCTACGAGGCTTGTGCTATGGATACCAGATAGTTGATACATTATGCATATATAACTTTAAATATATACATATTATAAATATAAGCACCCATGACTGGAGTACAAACATTCGTGCTCATCACACACATGAATACCCCCCAGCGGGACTCGAAACCCCGACCGCTGGCGCAGCAAGTAGGGTCACTACAAACTATGCCAAACGTGACGTCACATATACCTATATAAGTTTTACTATGTGCTGGAGAAAAAAATAAGAATGGCCGTACGTTGACGATGCCACAAATTCTATACCTTTTGCACGAAACCCCCGATATAGAGATTATACTATGTTTGTTTTACTTCCAAAAATAATATTATGATCTTTACATATAATTTGTAGGTATGTTTTATCTTCTACATTCAAAATTTAAGCACTTAAGGTTCAACAATAAATTTTATCTATAAATGAATAATTTTAAGTCGAACTCATGTAATATAATAAGTAGAAGTAGAAACAGCTGTGGTTATTTCAAAAAAATCTTTAAAACTCTGAATATACTCGTACAATGGTCTTCCCCAAAAACAAAGCCACCGTATACAATTTGCCAACCAATAACTTTTGCAATAGTAACGAGCTAAAGGTTATTCATGGTTCCTATTGTTCTTATCAGTTCCTTATTGTTGTACGCAACGTTATCTGTCTCACATACGGTGTACTTCAAAGGCGGTACCCTTTCAAGTTTACAGGCCTGTCATAGGTGCCATAAACCTGCAAAAAACAATGGATTTTTACTAAACATTTATTACAAATGTTATCTCGGAGTCGTGGCCTGACAAAGATTCGCCATATTCTATTGTGAACTTTTCTAAGTCGTGGAATAGACTAAAAGTTTTTTTTTTTAAATACCGTGTTAAAGACTTAACGAAATACATTTAAATAACATTTTAAAATATTATTTGGGTCAGTAGGTACACTAAGTAACTCAAAATCATCGGTAGGTAGTTACTTGTAGAATTCAAACATCATAATGTGTGATGAACGCTGGATTTTACGTATTATATTTGCAAGTAACTAAAGTGTTACCGGAATATAATTGCTTTTTAATATTGATTTTGTATTACTTGAAACATTTACTATGTTTTTTTTTGGATTGATTACAAACCTTTGACTATGATTATTTCTATACATATAAATATAATAAAATAGTAACTAAGCCGAATCTGTACATTAAATATTTTTTGGAAAATCTTATTGAAATAGACTTTATTATCGATACAGAGGCCAAATCTATAATTTTTAGAATTTATGTCTGTCTATCTGTTACCGCATCACGGAAAAACCACTGGAGGGATATCGATGAAATTTGGTATGATGATAGCTGGTTATTCGGGTCAACATATAGAATACTTTTTACTGCAGAAATTATCTCATCTCTGAGAAATCTATACTAAACGCTAAAACGTATGTAGGGACGAACCCGAGAGGAGCGAGGGTGAGTCGCTAGTTTAGTATAATTAAGTAGTAATTAACATAAATAAATACAGACACATTTAATTTTATAATATTCAATCCTTCAGCACTATATTCAAAATTATAGCATCAATTTACAAAGTATAGTTTCTGTGTAATAAGATTGGAAAAAGGGAAAATTTGATTGTTAACTATTTTACAACAAACTAAGTCTAAATAATAGATACTTATACATATGAAAAAGTTTACAATTATTTTAACAAAACAATTAAAAAAAATATACTATTAGAACTGAATACTAGGTACCTACCCTTATCAGTAAGACCCAGGTCGCCTACCTGTTAAGCCTGTTTAGTATTTTTATTTAGGTACAAGGGTCAAGTCTAGGGGGTGGGGGTTGGTATCTTCTCTTCCTTATGTCACAGATATGTCACAGTCGGTTGAGCTTTTGATCTGTATACACATCTAACACAATTTTGTATTTATAAGATTTTTGGCAAATATAAGTGTCAAGGCAAGTGTTTAAGTGACCTGTTAAGTGTAGTTAAGTTTAAAGTTAAAAATGAGTGACGATATAGAGGATAATTTGAATAAACTAACTCAATTTGTGAAACGATGGTGGGAAGACGATTATAGTAAGGTTTGTAATTACTCTTTTGAGTGTAATAACATACGTTCATGTATATCGCCTATAATGTTGCCATTTAATATATACCAAAATTAAATCTCTACCTAATAAAATTCTAATTAATATTATTTATAGCAACAGTATATATACTTAAATTATTACCGCGTTGAAACTTGACGACACTTGTCGTGAAGCCGAATCGATATATGACCCTTGGCCGAAATCCAATTATTATTATTAATACCTATAAACGCCATGAGGCGCCGTAAGCTGAGATTAAGATAAGCCTTATACTTGTCCAAGCTATATTATTACGTGTATTAACTTAAATGAGTGAAGAGATAATTTTATATAGAATCTAAATTGTATCAAAAATAATGGGACCCGCGGACAGATTACCGTGTCTCTGTAATAATAGAGCGTGTTAGACTCTTGTTTATACTCCATCTCAATATCATATGATTACGGTAAAAGACATTGGCTTTAGATCTCAAATGGAGTGAACAAGGTTTCTTTTGATATCATATATTTCATTAAATAGAAATTTTAATATTATAATCGAACTACTTTTGTAAATGCAAAAAAATGTATTTGTATTTTTTGATTTTTGGTGCCCGAGTAATAACGTGATAAAAAAATAAACAAAATAATAAGTACGTTTCAACACTCATGTCTATACTAGAAAACGATTATTTGCAAAAATATAAATATTTAAGCCGTTTGTATACTTATTTCATTCATAGTGATAGTGATGTTAATTAAATTAATACGGCGCCCACCCACGCTTCAATTGTATAGACAAATATTGATACGGTGTTCACGGCATGGTAGAGTTCTGCAACATTTGATAGTGTTGAGTGATGTAATTCGGTCATTACTAGAATGACAAGTAGATACATTATAATATATTAAATTTTTACAAACTTGAAAAAAGTAAGACTCAATTCGGGTAAATGTTTATTTGTGTATACATATGTATTACGCGATACCTTCGCCTATTGTCCACAAACTTTCATAAATTTATATATATTTATATATCACCTAAATTAAAAAAATCCATCCATGAAGGTGGAACTTATAAATTGCTTTCATAGCGTGTCTTTTTTAATAAAAAAATAATTCGAGTTTCAGTAAAATATTAAATATAGAGAGTACATATTTATGAAAGTATAAATTATTGTATTCAGCCCTTTTTAATGTCACACTGCTGGGCACAGGCCTCCTTCAATACGAGGGGGATCAGACCATAATCCACCACGCTGGCCAAATGCGTCTTTCGAAAACTAGCTAGTTCCTCTCAGAAATGCAGATATAAATATGTAGTGTAAATATATTTTCAGTAATCATGTTGGAAATGATTCGCACATAGAATAATCAGAGGTTCGAGACCTGAGATTTGAACCCGCTTTAATCGGTTTCCCAAGCGAGTGCGCTACTGCTACCACTGCCACGCGTAAAATTAAAAAAATATATAAGTTATTACAAACACTAAATGCATGTAATAAAGAACACTTGTTCACTTACAACGTTGCAAAGTCCTTACGCTAGCATAAATATTCTTTCATAATGATTAGTAATAGAGGTTCCAACATGGTCGTCACAGTGTTTATCTTGTTACAACCCCTAATAATTATGCAATAGACTCAGACTGTAATTTGCAAGTTTTCGTAATAAGTAATACCTAAATAGCCATTCACCTTGATATATTTAGATATAACGAACATTGTTTGTATTTAAAACTTTCTTAGATTTACGCGAATATTTGACATTTTAAATAAAACTATTTTTTCGGATTATTTCGCGGATTTATTTTGATTTTTAGTTCCCTAGCCTCGTTGGGAACCAAAAATCAAAATAAATCCGCGAAATAATCCGAAAATATAGTTTTATTTAAAGTGTTAGTATTTTTTATTATTTTATAATTATTGACGTTAAAAAATCTATCTGTAATACACTAAGCGTTAAGAAAATATAATTAACATTTACATATGTATGTATTTATTATTTATATATTATTATTAAAGGTTAGCTAATAATTTGGAGGTCACAAGTTCGATTCCGTGCAGGGCAGATGTTTGTATAGATATTATACTTCTATTAATCCCACGCATTTCTCCATAATCACATTCCTATAAAATAGAAATAATATTTTTAATTTTTTATCGTAATTAACATATTGAGGCTCCATTTTTGCTTGCTAACTTTGTATCAATTTATTTTCCTTGAACAACTTTTCTGCGCTACATTTAAAGCCATTATTATAAAAATGACAAAATGTTTTGCGCTTCAAAGTATGAAACCAGTTTACTTATGTATTTATGTATCATGCATTGAACAATATGGCATGTCACGACAGCGAGCCAAAAACGATAATCGCGAAATGGCCATTAAAAAATCTGTAAACCCAACATTTACTCCAAAAGGGACCTTACAACAAGGTATTATAGTTTATTATTACTAGTGAAAATTATGAAAAAATGCTGTGAAATATGTCCGCTTGTCCAGTGCTCTGACGGTAGGCGTGGGTCAGATGCGACGCAAATTTAATATTGCAATCTCCTCGTGTAAAAATGATATTTAACAGTACGTGTTAAGACTTACATATAAATAGGTGGCTGGCCTGTTTTATGTTGCCGGTCACTAACCCCGGCTAGCCAATGCGACTTTAAATTCTGTATTTTGGCTACGAGTTACGAATACTACTTATGTACTTATTTCCTATGGTATCCCTAAAATTTACCATATGCTAGTAAATTATGTATTCCAAAAAGTTTTTAGTTTCATCTAAACGTTTTTTAATTGTGACAGATCAAACTTTAATAATACTTTATTCTAGCATAACTTAATATAACTATCCATCTAATCATCGTATTTTCCAAAAAAAAACACATTATTCTTAATCGCTAGCTATCTCATTCGTAAATCCATAAGACCAACAATCACACAAAAAATCAAAAGACTTGTACGTTTCTACAAATAAGCTATAAACGCTTACAATTTCATTCGAACTCGAACCCTATAATTTACTTAAACGACACTTTATTATGCTATATTTATCCATTTTGTGGCATTAGAAATGATTTTAAACAGTTTTTTAGTCCTTGCATTATATAAAATTGCCGACGCGCCGGCGAGGCAAACGACAATTTAATTTTCCTCAGAAATATATAATGATATGGCAGCTACATCGCTTACATTTACACGGTATAATCGAGTGACAAACGAATTTGAAAGCGACAATCGACTCCCTTTTTTACATAGGGTCTGAACCTACAAATCGCTTAAACTAAGTTTAAGTGTAGGAATACTATTACTTTTTCCATACATTATACTGTTATATATGACATTTTTAACTCTAATCTTTCCATTTTAATTAAAAAACTGTTTTCTAACAAGGGCAATTAAATTAAAAGTTGCGGCCAAATAATATAATAAATCAAAAATTGTTACTTATTAATAGAAATCTCTAAAACCTACTTCTTGAGATTTTGGACATTCGCAATCCTCAATCCGATATAAAGATACCAAAGTTTTTACCAAAAAATTAAATCGTTTAAATAGAAGCAAAACCGCGAAAAATGGCTAGTTAAATATTGAACTACGACTATAATCTCTGCGTTAAACTTTGTTTAAGGAGTGGCTGAATTAACCGAAACTCAAGTTTGACAACGTGAGCCGACCCCGAATACTTACCAAATGAATAGTAATTTAGTTTTCGGATTAAATCGTTCCGAACACGCGACAGAAACCACTTTTCTATTCTCGACTCGACTCCAAACCGTCATTTTACACAATTTTACCCAATTGCTCTCCGTTCTCAGAATTAATTCGATATTAGCCTTTGAAAACGCAAGGTGTGGTTGTATGTCGACCCGATAGTTAGTTTGAAGATACATTAGAACAACCTGTCTTTAAAATTACTCTAGACCTAAGCTTATGTGAATAGGCGGATACAATCAAATTAACTTAATCGAATCAAGCTTCAGGTTTTTTATTAATATATTATTTACGCTAATTTTGTATTGACTATTATAAATTGAAATAACATGCTTATTTAAGAATTAAAAAATATATATTTGTATGCTTTTTTTTATTAAACTATATGTTTTTATTGTTACAGGAAACGCAATCAGGCAGCCCGGAAAGATGGAGTGGATGTGGGCCCGAACACAACTTAGCTCTTCAACAAATACTCAAACTACAAGAAGCCAGAGCTCTTCATAAAACTTCTCTTCTTCCAATTTATAAGAAAAACGGTCTTCCATCACCACCAAGAGTTAGTCAAGACTATGAACAAATTACTGATAAAAATATGGTGAATCACGACGAACTACGAGCTATCGATCAATTAAAACTTGAAGCTGAATTTAAAAGACTTATGGAAAATTCAGGAAAAGATGTACGGAACGATGAATCTTTTAGATATTTTCAACATGTTATGGAAGTAAAAAGTCATTACGATTTATTGAAAGATGTACAAGAGAAAGAAATTAAAAATAACTCTTTCGATAAAGAATTGAACGTAAAAAAAGAAAAATTATCTCCTAATTATAATCGTTTTTCACCAGACCCAACACATTCACCGCCTAGAACATCATCTGCTGAAGCTTCTCCTAATCACAGTATTCATTTATCTACCTCATCTAGTCCCCTGTCCAACACTAGTCCAGTTAATTCATCACCCTTAAATTATTTACAAAATATGCAACCATTTGATTTTAGAAAACACAAAATCAGTGAAAACAACGCTAAAGAAGATAGTAGAAAACGCAATTATGACATGTCCACCGAAAAGGCCGCCATGGATGTAATGCGAAGTCAATTTTTCAATTTCCAACTGCCCACAAATTTACCTTTACCTCCAATGTCAATGCCTTCCACATTTTCACATCCTGCAGCAATGGTTGCTGCTCTTAGTCAAAATCCAATGGGGTTGGCTTCACTGCAAGCTCTCTTACCACAAATATCAACAAAACCCGTAGACTCTACTGAAAGTAGAATGAACTTAATGAGTAAAGTAAGATCTGAAAACTCTAGAGTTGAAGATGAAAGTGTCCTTAATTTGAGCAAGGATACATATGTAGAAGCTGCTCAAAAAACGAGAGATATGATGTTAGGAAAATGTATAAGTCCACCAAAAAGACAATGGGGTGCGTCTCAAATGCCATTGAATTTAGGTACACATTTTATTAACCCAGCTACGGGTAAGAAACGTGTACAATGTAACGTATGTCTGAAAACTTTCTGTGATAAGGGTGCATTAAAAATACATTTTTCAGCCGTTCATCTTCGTGAAATGCACAAATGTACAGTTGAAGGTTGCAGTATGATGTTTAGTTCTAGGAGGTCTAGGAATAGACACAGCGCTAATCCAAACCCAAAATTACATTCACCACATTTAAGAAGAAAAATATCACCACATGATGGTAGAAGCGCACAGTCACATCCAGTATTAATTCCACCACCTGGTGCTGGTTTAAATATACCACCCGTAATAAGTCCCATGCATCCATTCGGATCATATCCATTACTAAATCCTTCCCAAAATATGAGATCATATACATCCAGTATGCCCTTGGACTACAAAAATAATATTAATTTTTCTCCTACTTTAAATCATACACAGCATTTGCGGAGAGAATCTAATTCTGTCGAAAATAAAGATCATGAAGGACACGGTGAATCTGATGAAGATGACGGGATTGTAGTTGTAGCTGGTGATGATGATGACGACGACAACGATCATGTTGATACAAGCGATTATTATTCAAATCTTAATAAATCGACAGGATCTGCTGATGATTCAGAAATAGAATATGACCAAAGAAGTGTAAGTGATAATAATGAAAATACGGATGCTATAAAAGATACAGCCAGTCCAGAAGTAATGAAAAGAAAACGTAAAAATCTTAATCCAACGAGACTTAAAAATAAGTATATCGTTGATTGTGATGATCATGATCAACAAGATGAACAAAATAATGACGAAGATACAGCTTTAAATCTTAAAAGAGTAAAATGCGAAAATAGCGATGGAAAATTAACGGTTCCATATGATAAAATCGAAAACCTTAAAATTAAACAAGAACCTACTCCAGTAACTTTGGAAACAACTGACCTGAACGAGAGTGCTCAAGATTTACGAGTAAAAGAAGAACCCGTTGATAACTCTGAGTCCGTAACAACAAAAGATTTACCTTGTCAAAATAGTGAGAATTTTTCCTCAGAAAACTCTTTAAAAAGACTGGAAAGCTTATCACGGGGAGATTTCCCTCACATTTCCAAAAAAATCGATACACATAACTTAGGCCCATATAATTTAAGTGTAAATGATGGTGTTGATTATTCCGATAGATCTCCGTCATCTTCGGTTTCGAGCTATGATTACCCATCTGATGATGTTCAAGGTCAAATATTTGGTCATTTTGATAATGGCTTTTTTGTAACAACTACAGATGTTCCCATCGATATGGACAATCCTCTTAAATGTAAGGTTTGCGATAAAATGTTTCAAAACGTCTATATATTAAAAACTCATTACCAGAATGCACATCTAAAAGTTATGTACAAATGTAATACTGAAGGTTGTAGAGCTGCATTTAGCACAAGACGTAGCAGAGATCGCCATAATTCCAATGTTAATGTACATAGAAGAATATTAAGTGAAGACCATCGAATATTCGATGACTCTCGTATTTTAGAAAAAATAAAGGAACAAATGGATTTATTAGCTAAATTTAGTGAAGAAGAACGAGCTATCCCTTACATTGATTCACAAAAATACTATCGAGCTAGAGATAATGATAAAGCAAAAAGTCACTTAGCGCAAATGCCTTTTGGTCCGCCATATCCGCCTCTACCGTTGCCAGAGACCTATTTGAACGGTCGTGACATGTTTGCTCAACATCCTTTTCTATTTGCACCTTTCGGTATGCTTCCAAATTTCCCTCCAATACCATTTGGATTTTTGCCACCGAGCCTCAATAGTTTTGGTTGTCAAAATCAAAATTTCTCCCCTCCTTTATCTCAAAAACTAAACTACTGCGTAGAAGATGAAGCGCCTCGACCGAATAAAGATGGCTATTATCCATGTCGTGGTTGCAGGGAGTGCTTCAAAGACTTGTTGAGCTTAAAGGTGCATTGTGAAAGTGTTCATGCACAACTGTTGCATCGGTGTTCAGTGAGTGGGTGCAACGCTGCGTTCTTCTCAAGGACTAAAAGAAACATTCACACGGAGGCCCATATTAGTCGCCGTCAAAACGGTAAAACGTCTAATTTGTCGTGACCCGATTTCTCAAAACCAGTGTTTACGGACTGCTAAGTACAGATTCTCCAGTGCTTTTGTGATGTTATTTAGATTTACCAAATAGTTAAGCTTGTGTAAATGCCCCAGTACCTATAAATTCTCAATAAATGTATGTATGATAAAGTTTGAGAGCTACTTGGTGTGTATTTTTTACAGATATGTTTGTATTTTAATAAGCTTTGTAAATATTTTGACAGTAGTTTTTTTTTTAGTTAAAGAAATATGGATATAAGCGTGTTTTGAATAATCTTAGTTAAAAGTAAACTGTATCAAATAGTTCGTTAATATCAACATTCCATAGTAATATTGTGCAATAAAATGTATATAATAATATAATGATGTACAAAATTATGCCTGACAATTTAATTAATTTTTTTTAAGAAAATATGTATTTTTAAGAAAGAATAGTCAAAAACTTGGTATAAGCTCTTATAGATTTTTGATAACAACTACAAGTATGTTGTGTTGTATAAAAGAATAAATATATATACACACACACTACAATATAGGTACATACTAAGTACATATTAAATATATTAGCAATTAAATGATACGCTATAAACATTTAACTATGTAATTAAATAAAATCGATTTTTTTATTCTTCTTAAGAATAACTTATTGATCTGTTAAACAAGAAGAACAGTTTAATATAGTACCTAGTTTAGTTAGATTACCTATTGTCTATCCATACAAAAATTAGTACTTTCCTTTTAAAATTTTTAGTACTTAACATTTATATGTTTAGTTGTTATCAAAAGTTTGTACAGAGACACCAAATTGACCGCACTTGTAACATATTTATTATAAATCCTATATCTAGCTATTTTGGTGCTAAACAAAATTATGATTTCCCTGTACATTCTATCATATCTTATTAAAATTCGAAATAGTATATAGGGTTAGTGTGATTTTGTTACATAATATAAATTACATGTAAGAACCAAAAAGTATTACGTATAAGGCGAGAGTAGTGACCGCTGCCCTCAAAGAAGCATGTTATTCTTCCTTTTGCCAAACATTACTAAGTATGAAATAAAACATTTAAAGCAAATTCTTAAATATTTTTTATTACTCCCTAGCATTAGCACTTTAAGTAGAAATTCAGCTGTGATTAAATAGAACTATCTTTTCGGATCTTTTAGTCTAAAAATGTTTCCCTACAAACTATATAATAACTTTTGAGATGTCTAGTAAGTATGTATGTCTATAAGTCCCGATGTCTACAACCATAGTCCCTCCCGTAACCTTGTTCTGTAAAGCATTGTTGAAATGTCGGGAACCTAAAAAAAAACCAAGAAAATATTCGAAAAGGATAGTTTTATTGAACGCGAATATTGGACTTTATATTCGCGTAAATCTAAGAAAGAATTAGAGCTATATCTAATGATCACGTCATTGAATCTCTTCAAAATTGAATAAAAATTGATAAAATAAATTTATAGAGCAAATTTATTATTTTTATATTTTTTCATGGAATCTCAAATGATCACCAAATAAATTAAAACAAGTAAAAGTCAAACATTGGCTAAGTGTTGATAGTAAACTATAATAGTTATGGGCTATAATAAATTGTTTTGGTAAAATTTTAGTTACTAGACTAAACACAATCAACTGAATCATGCCATATGTCAAGTTTAATACACTATGGATGTTAACGGGTGTTTATCTTTTATTTTTTTTAAATAATAAGATTTATCGAGATATATGATATATAGAAACAGCTCTTATAACTGTTGAAAATCGATAAATATTATAAACGTCGAATAAAATACGTTTTATTGTAAAATTACACAATAAGCATCAATTAGGTAATAGTATATTAATTTTATATTTACCAAAACCACAGACTACGAAAAAAAGAACTGTAAATTTCAATAGCTATAGCAATAATAATAATTTTTAAGTAAAAGTAAATAAAAACTTCATTCTGTCATTATTTTTCAAAGCAATTCGAAGCATTATTATTATTTACTAGCATTTCCTCACAGCAGCGCACGCGTTGTTCAATAATGTTTTTTTTAATATATTCTCTTCATCTTTATAAATTAGGTATAGCCAATCGTTCAATGTTCATCCTGATGCTTAAGTTATATTTCTGTAAAGTTTTATCAAAATCCGTTCAGTAAAAAAAGAGTTCGTGAAAGAGTAAAAAACATATAACTAGCCATACATCCTCATAAACAATCATATTTATAATTAGCATTGCCCGCGGCTCCGCCCGCGTTCAGGTGACCAAAAACCAAATTCTTAGGCTTTACATATTAGTATATTCTTACATTGCAGTTTTTGTATTTTTTCTCAGAAATGAGATATTTTCCCGCGGTAAAAAGTAGGTATATATGTTGACCCGGATAACCAGTTATGACCATACCAAATTTCATCAAAATCCCTCTAGTAGTTTTTCTGTGATGCGGTAACAGACAGACAGAGAGACAAAAAGTCTAAAAACTATAGATTCGACCTCTGTATTAATAATAATGTTTATTTCAATAAGATTTTTCAAAAAATATTTAATGTGTATAGATTCGGCTTCATTACAATTTTATTATATACAGGTATAGATTTAGTAGGATATAATATAATAAAAAAAATTGTGTATTATATAAGGTAAAAGTATATTTAAACTCATTTTACCTCAGCCATTTCGAACGACACCGTCGACACTACATCCAGTCGATTTTCTATTGAATATCAAACGTGACATTTTCGACGCGACATTTCTACCACATGTCACGTGTCACGTCGCGCCGTGACATCGCGTGTCGTATCTGCCTTTAAATATTAAACACCTCATTATAGAACGACATTTAACAAATTGATTTTGTTAGGACTTCTAGGCTATTCCCTTGTCTTTTTAATTGATAGGCAGTAGGTACCTATAACATTTTAAATCTTCAAAACTTTATTTTAAAAAAAAATCACATATGAGAAGTTAAATAAAATAAAATTGACAAATTATTTCTTAATCTAATAGCTAATAACAGTATTTTTTTCAGTAACAAAATTATAAGGATCTCATGTCCGATTTCACCAACGTCACCTAAGTTTAAGGGATCACCTAAGCATGGTTAGGGGGCTGTTAGGGACAGTTTCTGTTTCACCGACAGTTAGGGGTCATTTTAATATTAAAATGCCCCCTAAATTTAGGTGCTCAAAATATGGGCTTAAAGACGATCGTAAAACGAAATTTAATTTAGGGGCTAGTTTAGGGGACTTTTAAGCTAGGGATCCCATACGTAGGTGGTAGCTTATGAGTTGTTGGTGAAATCGGGCATTAGTGTAGCTAAACAATACTCAAAATGTTTGTAGCTAGTGTTAAAACTAATCTTAGATCTATTTCATAAATATTTTAAGTTATATAACTAAATCTAAAGCTTACCAAAGAGGTTAAGTCTACTTTTATCTCAAAAAGTTAGATTTTCTAAAAAACATATTTTATGAAAATCTTTAGTTAAAACTTAGTTTCTTTATAAAAAAACTAACGATTTACCCTCACTTCACTCGGGTGCTTTCCTAGGGACGTATTAAATAAATAAAAATAATTATTATGAGCGTACCTTAGATTTTAGAAGATAGGCACCGGGCACGTGCTGTTGTGGACTTTTCGTCTTTTAACTGTTATCGTTTTCGTTTTTTAAAGGCTTATATATAATTTTCTATTACATTGTTTGAATGTATATTTAAAGGTTTAGACAGCGTAAACCGTGTAATAATTTTTTTAACAGAACCCCGCTTAGCCGCTTAGAATAAAATATTTACAAATTATAGACAAACTTTCAACGTTTATCGTTCTTTCTATTAGTGAAAACCGAATTAAAATTCGTTGCGTGATTTACAATTAAGCGGAGAAACTGACAGAGACAGATAGTGACTCTGCTTTATACTATGTAGGCATTACCTACATATTTCGCTACGAATAGATATGCGACCTGCGCCTGAACTAAATTTTGTATTAACCCACGAAAATGACAGATTTTACAAAGAGAGACTTTCCTGTAGTATAAAGAATCCTAAATGTTGGCCCGAGCAATAAGTTATAACTTCACAAAGTTTAGTTAAAATCTGTAAATTTTTACGTAAAATGCACACAGATTTTGAAGACAAAAATTTTAACAACTATTATTATGGGATCTATATTCTGTACACAATTCGTAACAGTCATTGTTAAAAATTGTAAAAAGTATTTCATTAAGGTTTCACTTTTTTACTCATAGATTCCACTTTTTTACTATTTTGTTATTATATATGTATAGAAACTGTTTAATTTAATAAACTATTAAAGACTTTTATTCGTTATTTAAACTTCAGATGTATCTAGAGAGATTAGTGTAAAAACAAAAAAAAAACATTAAAAAAGTCATGAATGTAAAAATTTTATGTTTTTCTAATTTAATTATCTTTAAAATATTTAAATTTCCCTGAATAAATAACATCTTCAGAAGCCACAAAAGTACGCATCACAATAGTCCGTCCTCATTTCCATAATCAACTCTCATCGTGCACATTTGCATCGGACACACAATACGAATTATTGTGTAAAGCTTGAACTGCACTAAGCACAAAAATAAAAATTATACGTTATTGCTTCCACAAATTTTTGCTTTATAGGTCACGCAAGTTTATTTAAAGTCTTATATTTTATAAAACATTCTAGAATGGCTCCGCCCGCGTTCAGATGATGATATATGATGTATATGTACTATTACATTGCAGTTATAGTCAGAAATAAGACTTTTCCCGCGGTAAAAGTATCCTATATGTTGACCCAAATAACCACCTATCACCATACCAAATTTCATCAAAATCCCTCCAGTGGTTTTTCTGTGATGCGGTAACAGACAGACTCTGTATCGATAATAATGTTTATTTCAATAAGATTTTCCAAAAAATATTTAATGTACAGATGCGGCTTAGTTACAATTTTATTATATGTATAGATAGTAAGAAAACGCATTGGTAATCTATGTTTTCATTT